CTTCACGCCATTAATCGTGAAAGTTCGCTAAGAGCCAGGGCGGTAAAATATTTTGGCAGTCACCAATAGTGAGTCAGTTGACCCAGAAATTGACTCACGTCGGCGTCTACATCCCCTCCTCAATATCCGCCAGAAATCAAAGCTCTAACATCTGCTGCGAGTCCTCAAAATGAAGTCCGGACAAAAATTAGCAAAGTCCGGACAAACAAGCCTTTCACGCACCAAGCACGAGAGGGCGTATTAAGGCTTAAATTGGTATATACAGCATGCAGGTGAGCTAGAGGAGGCTAACAGCCCTTGCCGCAGCTTCACCCGCTCCACCGAGATCCTTCACGCCATTAATCATGAAAGTTCGCTAAGAGCCGGGGCGGTAAAATATTTTGGCAGTCACCAATAGTGACTCAGTTGACCCAGAAATTGACTCGCATACGCGTCTACATCCCCTCCTCAATACCCGCCGGAAATCGATGCTCTAACGTCTGCCGCGAGTCCGCAAAATGAAGTCCGGACAAAAATTAGCAAAGTCCGGACAAACAAGCCTTTCACACACCACGCACGAGAGGGCGTATTAAGGCTTAAATTGGTATATACAGCATGCAAGTGAGCTAGAGGAGGCTAACAGCCCTTGCCGCAGCTTCACCCGCTCCACCGAGATCCTTCACACCATTAATCGTGAAAGTTCGCTAAGAGCCGTGAGGCGGTAAAATATTTTGGCAGTCACCAATAGTGACTCCGTTGACCCAGAAATTGACTCGCGTACGCGTCCACATCCCCTCCTCAATACCCGCCAGAAATCAAAGCTCTAACATCTGCTGCGAGTCCGCAAAATGAAGTCCGGACAAAAATTAGCAAAGTCCGGACAAACAAGCCTTTCACGCACCAAGCACGAGAGGGCGTATTAAGGCTTAAATTGGTATATACAGCATGCAGGCGAGCTAGAGGAGGCTAACAGCCTTTGCCGCAGCTTCACCCGCTCCACCGGCATCCTTCACGCCATAACTTCCCGCAGAGCCGCGAGGCGGCAAAATATTTTGGCAGTCACCAATAGTGAGTCAGTTGACCAAGAAATTGACTCGCGTACGCGTCTACATCCCCTCTTCAATACCCGCCAGAAATCGAGCTCCCACGAGTCCGCAAAAAGAAGTCCGGACAAACACAACCTTCACGCACGACATCAGAGATGGGGGATTATGGTAGATAGTCCTTAGGATAGATCTTGGCAAAAATAATCTGACATAATTGGCGATAAAAGCAAGATTACGGCCAATTGTCTGGATTTGGTCCCAATTGGGAGAAGTGGATTTTCCTGATGAATGACCTGAACAAAAAGGTGCATGGCGGTGCTATGCCGCCTTCGCTTCGCTTCAGAGAACACGGTGGAGTTGTAACGTGCCCGTGCTGGAGAGTACGAATAGATAGATAAAAAAGGCGGTCCACGCCCAAGAAGAAGAGCCAGGCCAGGATCGAGAGTCCGGATGAGCTGCCAAGAGCTCGTACGGGAGCGCGGCGACGCTATACGCCGCTGCGCGCGAGGGGATGTACGATTCTGCGGCAATATCATATAGCACTGGGAAGGTAGCTGATAGGAACTTGGCAACATGCAGCGGAGAATATATGGGCGAGAAGCCCACACGGAGCTGCCTGAGGAGATGAGGCTCCCCTCGGACAGGAGTGGTCTCGTTTGGCAAGATTGTAGCGTCCAACGACAATACAAACTTCCTTAGAGACGGACAGTCCTGCAGGAAGGACTGCAGGCACTGAATTGTTACGCTGGGTGATCTGGTGGAGGACTCGAAGAGGATGCCTAGATTGAGCTCCACTACTTCAGGCCATGCCTGCACCAACTCCTTGACGGTGCTATCATCCAGATTGAATCCAAACGGAGATGCTAAGTCAATGAACCTAAGGTCGTGGAAGGGGAATAGGCTGTGTAATGTGCTGAATTGGAGTAGATGCTTCTCCCTATCCGTTGGAGAGATGACCATTTCCATGTCGGATGGATAGTGAAACACAATATTCCACAGGGATGAGTGTTTGCAGTGGGCAGAGACGACATGGTAAAGGGAATCCATGGCTGCTGCCATTGGATATGAAGTGAATTCCAGCGCGAGGGAAACCAGTGGTGCAGCAGACCACATTTGGATAAAGCGGACGGTGGGTATGATTTGTGCATCCTCGAGGCAGAATTCCTCTAGGCCACAGAAAGAAGAATATGAAGTTGATTCGATGGATGTAGTGTCCAGAGGGGGAAGCCGATGCAAAGCCAACTTCTTGAGGGTTGGAAGCCGGCCCAAATGTCCCAAGCCAGTTAGATCAATATCGTGGAGAGTCAAGGACTCTATGCTCGTAAGTCTGGCGAGAAAGCTGGAGATTGCCGCAAGGAAAGTATCAGAGCCTGATTGGCTCCAGATTGAAATCTCTACATTCTTCACTTTGGGATATTTACACCCCAAAGCTGAAAGAAGAGAAATGTGGTGATTGCCTGTGGGGACCGGGAAATGCAGTTTGATGTCCCTCAGGTTGGGCGACAAAAAGGGCCGGATATAGGCAAATGACTCTGCCCCGGGGGACAAAATGAGACTCTTGAGGCTAGGAAACAAATAGTCCCCAGGAAAGCTCAAGTTGAGCAGCTGGAGAACGCCCTCAGGGGCTCGAACCCGACTAAAAGGCGGCCCTGACAGAAGGTAAAACCTTTGGACCCTCTGTGCATAAAAGGACGGCCGCTCCCAGTCTGTTGCTACTATAGGGCGGAGCAGGTGCTTTCAAAAGAGAGATGAGTTGATTGACCCAGCGTTGTATATTTTACTTACCATTTGCTTATAGGTATTCTTACTGGTAGACCCCGGCTGGGGAAGGTCATCCAGTACATTGAACAAATCCGATGGCATGCACAGGAGGAGGTTAGCTAGGGTGCTCTGCTCCTTCCACAAATTATCCAATCCAGGCTCTAGGAAGGACTTGCAGGCTCTTGCAAAAGAGATGAGATCTTGAGAGCGGGTGAGGGGTGAACAAAAGAGCTCCACCAGCTCACGGATTCCGAAACATCGGTTCATCTGTAAGGATACCAAGTCAGCAAATGAAGAAGGAGCTAGAGAACGGGTTGAACAGCACCGAAGATGGCTGCTAAGATGAAGTAGGAGATAAACGATATCGATGGAAGGCTTACAAATGACACAGGGGGCAAACCTTGGGGCACTTACCATAATGGCAACCGTGCGGCATCCGACACGCACTTCCTGTGGCATCCGTCAGGCATGTGGCAGCTAATTTCCCACTCACCTATCAAAGTGTGGGATTTGTGCACACCTGATGCCGTACTATGGAACCTGCACCCCAGTGTTTGTATTGGTCACTTGCTGCAGTGGTTAATGATATTGTTGTTAGTTTTTGCTTGTTTTGCAGTGGACCTGGTTTCGATCCTCCCTGCAGTTTTCTTTTTGGGTATTCCGACAAAGCTTGTTACACGGCACTATTGCAGTATAGCACATTCGAGAAGGTCCTAGTAGTATCATCTAAGTTGTTTTGTCATAGGACAAAATTCAACAAGAGTTATCTTTGAGTTTCCTGGGATCCAGATTGATCCGCAGCTGTCAATGACATGACACATGCTGAGCACATGCCCCACGGATGCCACAGCAAGTGCGTGTCGGATGCTGCATGGTTGCCATTATGACAAGTGCCCCAAGGTTTGCCCCCTGTGTGATATTCCATCACTTCCCTTGTTGGGTCTTGTTGGTAGTACACTTCTTACGCTACGTAGTACCATAAATATCAAAATATATAATAATCTGTGTAGCTACTGGCATTCGTCAGTTTTAGCATCTCGCCACTATCTCACCGCCGAGACATTCATTGGCTATTTGGCATTGCCGCGACCTGTGTCTCAAGGATATGGCTGCCGCCGCTCAGCTCTCATGTCTCAGGCGGTGCTCAACTTGCGCCACGCTCGAATATCTATCCTGTTTGTGAGCTACCACCGCCGATCCCGATCTTTTCCATCTTGCTGTGTTAATACTGTGTCTGGCGCATATAATTTTGTGCTTACTAGAGGAAGAGGAGCTGTAAGCGACAAGCGACAGAGACTTTAAAGCCTTATAAATTAACTGGCTTTCACATGTTTCACCGGTAAATAGGAAACTGGATTTTACATTTTCTGCTGAAAAAAGTTGAACAGGGTTTTACATTTTTCCCTCAAAAACTTGAGCTGGGCTTTAAATCTTTCGGTGGAAAATGTGAACTGGGTTTCACATTTCTTTCTGAAAAACTTGAATTGGGTTTCACATTTTTCACTGTCATTATTCTTGAATTCTCTTTGGAATTCATTTAAAACATATTCACCAAAAGCTCTTTACATTTTTCATGCAGGTATTCAGTGACAAATGCGTGAAAACCATATTGTATTTTTTCACACAAGTCTTGAGCAAAAAATGGGGTGAAATTCAATTTGAAATTCGCATCCCATTATTCATCCAAGAAGGACCCTCAGAAGATGGTGAAAAACTGGTGAAAATAATGTATTTTGGCTTTCACATTTTACATGCAGTTTCATACCTTAAGGTTCATGCCTTTTATACCCCTTTTTCCGGCGGTAAAATTAGTGAAAATGGTTTTGCAGTTTTCACCACTGGTTCCAGCCGAATCTACGAATGAATTCCGGCTGTAAAACTTCAAACTGAATTTACAACCATTATTTCACATTTTACATCCTGATTTCAAGTTAAAAAGGTGCTGAAAAATGTAAACATTTTTCATGACTTTCTAAGGTGAAAACTGCATGAAAAATGTCTGTAATTCCCGGTGTAAAACTTAAAATAAAAATATGAATCTTGTTTCACATTTTACACCCTGGTTTCAGGCGAAAAAAGGGGTGAAAAAAGGTTACATTTTTCATGACTTTTTATGCTGAAAACTGCATGAAAAATGTTAACCATTTTTCACCGTAAATAGTAGTGAAAACATTGAAATCTTCATCCGGTGTACATAGTATATTTCTTTGTAACAGCTCAGTGGTGGAGTGGTACACATCTGCAGTCCATGCTGATAATCCGCGTAACTTCGGCAGACAATGCTTGTTCGAATCAAGCCTGAGCTATTCCAAGAAACATTGTATTTTATTTTATTTTTATTTTTCCGCAGTTCGGCTCTCAAAGTTCTTCTCTCGACACGGCTTCTTGATTATAATGAGCTGTACTGGCGGAGATTCCGTAGGTAGAATTAATGCCGCAGTGGCTTCTTCTGTCCTACACACCATGGAAGTAAAGTAAAATTCAACCACCCGGGAAAAAAACAGCTCCTACATACCACTTGAGTAGCATTTGGTTTCCCCTATTCATGAAGGCACAGTGGTGGAGTGGTCCGCATCTGCAACATATAGCCTAGGAGGAAAAGCGTAAGCAGAGGATGCTTGTTCAACTCAAGCCTGAACCATTGCTGGAAACATTGAGCACTTTTATTTTATTTTTGCAACATCCGGCTTAATTTCTTCTCTCTACACGGCTCTTCAATTATAATGACTCGGATGCAGCAGTTATAGTATGTTTGCACGGTGGAATGCCGCTGTGCCTTTTTTTGTTCACACAGCGTAAACTTCAACCACTTAGCTTATTTGATTTTGGTTATTTCCATCCATCAAGGCTTGGTGGCGGAGTGGTCCGTGTCTGCGGTTCATGCAGGCCCTGAACCATAACATAAGCAGAAGATGCTTGTTCAAATCAAGCCCGGGCCCTTCCATTTGATCGGATATTCTTTTTAAAAAAGTACCATTTGTTTTTACCAACACCATTTGTTCAATCACTACTCCTTTCTTACATTTAAAACAACGCGGGGACTTTCTTTGAGCGGAGAATCTCTTCCGCAGGTTGAAAAACCATGGGAGCATGGCCAAATGCAAGTTAGTTGAAACTTGAATTTTGGTGTTTAGAATAGGACATTGTTTCTTTTTCTTTAACAGCTCAGTGGTGGAGTGGTACACATTTGCACTTTATGAGATCACCATCAGGGAATTTCGGCAGACGACGCTTGTTCAAACCAAGCCTGAGCTATGTCCTAGTCATTGAGGGGGTTTTTTTTTTGGGCCAACATTCAGCTCAATTTCTTTCTCTCACACAGCTCAATGAGCGGATGCTTTCTGAGCTACGCTTACACGGTGGAACACCGCAACGCGTTTTTTCAAAGTTGTCCACACAGCGTAAACTTCAATCACTTTAGCTTATTTACAGCCGATCCTGAAACTGATGAGAATGACATTTTTTTTTTTGCGTGTTTCCCAATTGAGAATTACCAAACGTGGCGGTTGTGTGTTCGATCCCTGCCGTTTCACATTTTTTTTAAACATATTTCCATGTTCCTAACAGGTTCCTGACTATCCTGAATGTTATTTTGAACCAGATATATATTCACTGAATTTGTGTGGTGCCGTGGACACCAACTTGTCACTATAGAATCAATGCCGGGATAGCTAAACCAATCCGTTTGACACTCATTGAAACAATGAAACAATTGATTGGACAGTCTCGTGTCCCTATGCATATGATGAAGTGGAGCGCTGCATATGCCGAGTCCAGTTACTCCAACTGATAATCAAATGAGTCCAAGGATGTAACACTAATACTTATCAAAGGTACAGAGTACTGCTTACACGTAACTGGAGGGGTGAAAGAAATAGTATCTCACACCAGAAGCATGTCCAGGATGCTCAGAGATCTTAATGGGGCCAGGATGTGTTTCGGAATAAAATGCGCAACTCCCGGGATCAAACGCATGACCTCCTGGAGGCAATCCAAGATCTGGAATCAGGCACTCTACCACTGATGGGATCCTTCTGCTGTGATTCCATCTTCTGCAAGAAGCTAAGCCTGCAGATGCCGTGGAGCATCTGCGGATTGCCACACATTTACCATTTCTCCCTTGTCAGCTGGGTTCTTAAATTTGGGGTGAAATGCCAATGTTTATAATGATGGAATGGTTGTTCACCAGGATTCAAGAAGTGTTCTCACTTTTGTTCGTGACATTTGAAATATATGGTTTATTTTCGGTGTGGAACATCAACAGATACCAATATCTGCATGTATGATGTGATGCTGGGAATATATGCGGAAGTATCTGTGGGATGAACACAGCAAAAGATATATAAGCCTAGATGAAGAACATCCCTCCCATCAATGCCCACCATGCGTACCGCAGGGAATTTCAAGAATCTTCTTGAATATATCACCCTGGCCACAACTACTGCACAAAACATTGCAGAAACAGCCAAAGTGCCTTTCCTTGGCTCAACTGCCGTATTGTGCTTGTCAATCACAAAGTGTATCGAGGTAAGCTGATGCCTCCACCCATTGGCACCATATTTAACAAAACAAAGACAACCAAATCGAACAAGGAAGAATACAATGGAGCACATTCATGAAATCCTGTGCATCATTGTCCAGCTTGATTCAACTTCAGAAATCAGGGGTGTCCTTCCAACAGCACTCCTGTATGACATTGCAAAATTCACAGAGTGAGTACCATTTGATGATGATATTGTATTCATTTTATATTTCACACTAGGGCACTTGAAAAGGTGTTCACCATTCTAAATGGGCAACAAAAGGGCACTCTAGGAAAAATAAAGGGACTTTTCAGACAGCCTGGGGCTGGAGAAAGATTGGAAAAATGCAAGCAGGAGCTCAGCCGGATGGTTGGATTGTTCAAGGTATATCAGATGAAATGTGTTTCAGTGCACATTCAAATCATTTGCAGGCTCAAGTTACAGGTTCAACCTTGTCTCAAATGGGGCAAATGAGAAAGGATGCCAAGGAACAACATGAAAAGCTTGTTGCCCTTTTGGAGAAAGACTCTTCCCTCACCGGATCTGATCACTCCTTGGTGAGTAGCAAAGTATGGCCATTGAAATGTGTAGCTCATGGTTGTTAGATGGCAGGAACTCTGGCAAGTTTGAAGAATAATAGGTGAGCCAAACCTGCAAACACCATCAATCCTACTAAAGATCTTGAGCAGCTCAGGATCTTTTAGTCTGCTTCCACCCTGCCCACAAATCTTCCATGGCTGTGAATCAGAGCTCCAAGATGTGGTGAATATTCTCATACAGGATTCTGCCCACATTGCTATTCTTGGTGCAGGAGGCATGGGAAAGACCAGCCTTGCCACAGCAGCCCTCCATAATCCACAAGTGGAAGCCAAGTATTCACATCGATCCTTTGTTCCATGTCACTCAAGCCCCACTTGCACTGAGCTGGCAGTGACAATTGCAAATCATATTGGGCTGGAGAAGGGCTCAAACATGGCAAAGAAGGTTGCACATTATTTTGTCCATGCTCCTCCTTCCCTTTTGGTCCTCGATAATCTGGAGACCCCTTGAGAACCCCTTTCATCTCGTCCTGAAGTTGAAGAGTTTCTATCTCTTCTGACTGATGCCCCCCAGTTGGGCCTCATGGTGAGTAATGTTTGTGAGTTTATCCAATTATATCTTGAACTTCCTGTAGATCACCCTGAGAGGTGCTGAGCACCCAAGTAAAGTCAAATGGACCCGCCCCTTCCTGGCCCCTCTTGAGCCACTTTCCAATGTGGCTGCTTGGCAGACCTTCATTGAGGTTGCTGATGAAGGCCATGATGATGCCAGCATCAAAGAACTCCTTGAACTGACAGGGAATCTCCCACTGGCGGTCAGCCTTATTGCAAGTGTTGCTGGTTCCGAAGGATGTGCCAAGGCGATTTCTCGTTGGAAATTGGAAAGTACTCGGATGCTTTCAGATGGGTATGACCAGAGATCAAGCCTGGATATATCCATCATGTTGTCATACACCAGCTCCTGTATGACCCCAGGTGCTCAGGAGTTGCTCAGCATTCTTTCCATGCTACCAGATGGGCTTGCAGATGCCAATTTGGTGCAGGCCAAACTGCCAATCCTTGACATTCTGGCCTGCAAGGCCACTCTGATTAAAACAGCACTTGCCTTTGTTGACCAGGATCAACATCTCAAAGTTCTGGTTCCCATCCGAGAACATATCCTTAGCATTCATCCTCCTGCAGATGCCTTGAAGCTAAAGCTACGGGAACACTTCCATCAAATTCTTGATCTTTGGCACCAAATCAGGAATCTCAATATAACAGATATACTCCCTCAAATTTCAGGAAATTTGGGCAATTTCAACACTGTTCTCCATGATGGGCTTGAACCAGAGGGGCCTGATGTTGTCCAGAATTTAAGGAGCATCCTGTTTCTCAATCTTTTTTTTCGTCGGGTTCACTCAACATATTCACCCCTTTTGCTGCAGCTTTCTGGGCAAATGCTGCATTGGAAAGACAATAAAATCTTTGGGGAATATCTCATTGAGCTATTGGAAACTTCGCAATATTTTCCTGACCTGGATTTAAATAGTGACATCACCCTAGGCACTCAGCATTTCACATCAAAAGATCCACTGGAACAGGGTAAGACACAATCACGGTCCTTGTATTCAACTAACTAATTTATCACCAGGCAGATGGTACCGTGCTCTGGGAGTGTATTTTGAGTATTCAAAGTCAGATTTCACAGGAGCCCTGCAGTATTATCAAACAGCATATTCTCTGGCAGAAAGTACTGGAGACCCTACTATTGTTGGCTACCTTGCATTGGCCAGCATATGTGTCATTCTTCTTGACACCGGAAAGCCCTTGAGCGCACTCTCGCACTAAAAATCATTCTGATATAATCTGTGACTGAATATCGGTTCAAAATATCCAGAACAGGGGTGCGAGTCCTTCGATTCCATGATATCTTGAGTGACGTACAGTAAGTCTTCCCGCAGCTGGGGCACGGGGCTACGACCGTGTTGCCCTTTCTATGCTAGCCAAGGAAGCATATAGATATGCTGAGCATATAGGGAACATCCATGGACAAGCTTTGTCTCTCCGCCTTCAAGGAGCAAGCTACATATATTTGGCAAACTATCGGCATACTCAACATCTTCTGCAAAAATCCAGACACATCCTGGCTACTCTTGGTCACCAACAAAGTGAATTGAATCGTTTCATCCTAGGTTGGCAGGCTGAGATACACCTTGTGAAATCTGAGTATTTGGAATCACGCAAGCTGCAAGTCACTATCACATCCAGCTGCCAGGCAGCTTCATACCATGTCATCTTGTCAAACTTGAACATTGCTTTCATTGATATTAATATTGGTGCTGACTCAAAAATCATTCACCAAAATCTAGACATCGCTCACACTCATATGAAGGCATTGTATGGGCACCATGGTAGACATACAAGTCTTATAGCTGATCATGTAGCTGCTGAACTCTGTCTTTGAGATGGCACTCTTGGGACTGTGAATGTACTGTTTGAAAAATGTTTTGCACTGTCTCTGGATATTTACCCAGAGCTGGCACTCCAATGTTCAGAAAGGCTTGGAGATCTTTCGACTGGTATGAATGACATTCCAACTACACTGCAATGGACCGGAATCTTCCTTGGACTTGCATTGAAGTGCAAAGACAAGTGCCAGACAATGCAAGCATTCCACTGCCTTGGCCAATTTTTTTCTGCCCAAGGTGATGATGAAACAGCACTCAACCTATTCAATGTTGCTCTAGATGGATTTACATTCATAGATGTCCATCGCTGGCAGGCAGATTGCATGGTTTGAATTGGTGATATACTGAATAGTTGTGGAGAGGTCATTAAAGCAAATGAATTGTGGAAAACAGCCAGGCCCTTGTTTGAAAGGTCCTCTCAGATGAA